AGCGCTTTGTTTCAAAAGTGATATGCGTGTCTGAAACACAAGCATTTCTTATTTGCCACAGCATTATGAAAAGGCTTTCTCACAAAACGGGCAGTTCATGCGAACTCCACGATATTTTAAGAGAGTGCATCAAGTATCAGAATAATGTTCATTTGAGTCCTACATACAGTTGCGTCGTTTTCGTCCCAAATTGCGACCACGCGGCAACGACACACTATGCGAATGGCACACCAGCAGAAAATGATCGCCGCGCCGAATGTCACGTTCATCGTAGGTGACTTGGACGACTGCGCCAAAGTTCACACGAATCAAACACGTGACGTCTGAATGACAAACGATGGACAAAAGCCATTCCTCAATGAATTCCTCGCAGTTTAGAAGGAAGTACAGGTAGACTATGAAATGAGCATTTTCTAGAAACTTTAGAAGAACATGATTTTCGGCGGATCCCATTTTGCCACGATTATACACGACAGAGTGATAAAAACTTTCCAAGCTCTCGCTCGAGTCACTCGACGATCAGTGTCACGAAGGAGCTACTTAAGGTTTATTTATTTAGAGTGGATAGAAAGGATGAAGCTCTCGGCGTTGGTCGATCCCTGAAGGATGCGCCGCACATTCGTCTTTAATTTTTAGCTTCGTTTGATGTGACTGAATGCATATCTGGCTTTTAAAATGACTCGCGATAGTCTTTTGCTGTATCGAGTCAATGCTGCTTATCCTCTCAAGCAAGTCTGAGACCAGCCTGGTGCCAATTTACTGACTCGGAATGGATGAATGGTTTGGAGAGCGATGGCATTCAAAATGAAATAATGTTTCATTAATCACGAGTTTTCTCTCTTACCTCACCATATTTCGCTGGACAAAACGCCTTCCTCAAGTGCCAGTACTTAAACTATAGCATAAGCTTTAAAAAATTTACGAATTCGTTTTCTTTCCAAAAGCTCTTCTGATCTCCTTTGATCACTTGACTTGTGCTTCAAACCTCACAGGACAGAGCTCTTTCTTCGGGCTAATAGTAGTCATCTGATAACGTAATGTTCTTCGATTCTAGCAATGTGCCTATTTTTTAGAAATACGGTTTGGCAAGGAAAATAAGATCGAGTTTTACATTATCGGTATAGCAAATCTCCCAACGGAGTTCTGCTATCTTATCGAAAATTACATGATAATTTAGGTAACGCAGATGGTCCACGACCTTAGAGAGCAAGTGCTACCGCAGAGGTTCGAGGACCTCAGACAGAGTGGTCCAAGTGGCGTGGGCGGCACCCAGCTGCCACCAACCTCAACAGGCAGTTCGACCGACGGGCATCATCCGAACGGTCGTCTGACCTCACCCGGACCACCTCACCTCAGTTTATTGCCAACTCATTACTGCTCTTTCCACATAGTCTCGTTATCATGTAACTAACTGCTATCATAAGGTTGAGTTCATACAACTGTCAGATGAACTCAATAGAATTGTGAGCGGAACATATCACTAACGTGGCGGAGCAAACTCACTTGGGCTATGCTCGGCCCACCACCGCGGTTAAGGGATTCTGCCCATATATAATCAGTAGCGACCCCACTGCTAACACTACATACTCACCCACTGGGTCCCGCAGCCGGTGTTCTACTTGGGGGCAAACATAGCAATCCCAAGCGGGCTCCGCCGCCTAGTCATGCTCCATAACAACATTAATTGAATCGTCACACGACGATACATCTCACCAATTACGATCACTTATCCACATTATCGCCACAAGGCGAAACATCACATTTACTGACATATGTTCACATAACGATATGTCGAAATCGTATCTATATTGTTCTTATGTTATTATTAAGGTAACGTATGTATATTATAGGTTGTTTGGTGGTACCGCTTCATTGCTTGGTTTCACCACTTGTTTTGCATAACCTGTACAAAGGATTTGAACTTTGTGCTCTTGTCGGTTACAAGAGACAAGTTGGCAGACGACACGGTAACACAGACTAAAGTTTAGCCTGTAGCAACTTGGAAGTGCAACCAGCCACTTCAGAGGGCAAAAGTCGTCGCAACCCGGAAGTTCGACGCGTGCAGCACAAAAGTCAGTGCGCCGCTAAGGACAATCTAACCATATTCAGATATCGATCGGGTCACTGCCCGAGACAAATCCAGGGACCACACAGCAAAAACCACTGAACCTCCACCACAATCGGTAACGTTATTTACAGATTATTCGACAAGACGAAGGCCGTGGCGCGGCGAGGCGAGGCTGATCGATCGATGTATAGTTCAATTCAACAGGAAATTTTTCTTGCGCGTCAAAAGATATTCCAGATAAAGCGATTGAATAAGATACTACGAAATTTTCTCTACACACTGATACGTTTTTCGGCTTCCAACAAATTATACGCGTGAACGAAATGAAGGCGAAAGCGATTGTAAAACATTATCGTTGATCTGGGTGCCACAGCGCTATAGAAGGGTGTTCTGAAAAACTGGCGGCATGGGACGGTAGCCTCCATCCCAGCTTTCGAGTGGTTGCTAACACTCCTATGAAAAGTCCCTATCCAGCGAATGAGGTCAGTTTTTCATTTGTCTCCTTCTAACCAAAACAGACCGTATATATATATAATATATTATATATATATATATATACGCATGTGTATGTACGTGTGCGCATATATATTCTTGCATATGTATATGCGCATGGAGAGTTAAGCTTTGAATATATGCATATATAAATGTAGTCATATATATATGTGATATAATGTGTATACAAATGAATAGTGTAGGTGTGTATACATGCCTACATACATTCGCATACATATATACACATACATACATAATTAAGCTCTCCCAAACTCCCATATTCTTCTTACTTTTACATTTACACATATATATGCTTATAAAATTAGACGTAATGTATATTATGTAATTGTAAACGAACCAGTAATTCGTTTTCCAAATCGTATGGCACCAACGAGTTTTCAACTCTACGTAACTCTGGACTGCAATAGGAAGGACGGGAATACACTGAAATTTCTCCAGTGCAGAGGCACTGACAGCGGCGACACATTAGTATTCTAAATAACAACCTTTTGAAAGAAGATTACAGAACGGAAACGATGAAGGAAATAATAACTGACTTGTCCTGCAGACCAGTATGGACCATATTATGCTTTTTTGACACCATCTTTCCTCTAAGAAGTCGGCAAATTGTAGAGAACTTCTGCGACGTATCAAATGCCCGCTTATAAGCACTTCCATTTCATCCGTGATACACTCGTTCTCAGTTTCCGAAAATTTGTGCAGCGGAGGAATACTCCTAGGAATTCATACACATACTTTGAAAGTCACTAGGTTTTCGGAAAATAAATAGCAAAAATAAGTAGAAAAAGATATTAGAAACCAATTCGAATCCTTTTCTTTCGAGAGGCATGTCTAGACCTATAGTAAACTTTGTTGAACAGAAAGACCATTGATTCGTTTGGGACGGATTTCTCGCATTCTTCTAGATCTTAAGTGACCCATTCAATAACGTGAATTCCGATTTGGAATATATTTTTAGAGCTGTAACACAAAGTTAAAGTTACATTTTCCTTCGGACGCATTTATAGCATCGCTGAGCTTTTAGATGGCTTTTCAACAGAGTACCCAGTGCCTAAAGATATCTTGCAAGACAGTGATTCTGACGCAAACTTTGTTTTTCGGAAAGGTCTTCATACAGGGAAAAACCCCTGAGTCGGCATATATTACTGCCACTCTACGAGTAACCTACATATATAGAGGTCCAGTAGCACCGCCGAGAAGTTCAAACATGAACACCAGCATCTCCTCCATATGCTGTGCGCTTATATGGACTGGGAAGTAAAACAGTGCCCTAGAAAACATGGAGAGACAATGTGACACCTTTGATAAAGTACAACTGTAAAAATGCATAAGCGTTTGCAGAATAAAATTTATGAAATATTTTTCCTTAAAAATGTGTCACACACATAACGACAAACAATGCATTTTTTACGAACCCTTCATATCCACTGCAAGGACTGACCAGGTCAGATTAAGATGTCTGCCGAGAACTGATAGCATAGGATAGCGCATCCATGTTACATTCATCATGATCCTACAAAACCCTATAATGTGATTGGCATTATGTACACATGCTCATAAACCTATCACGACAGTGATCTTGTTGACCAATAATTCCTTTTGCTTCTCGGCACTTCCGCTAAATCAGTCGTCATTTATCCAAAGGAGTCAGTTAATCAGCAGTATAAAACCATCATGATCAATGATGTGCTATCATTTGCTGATGAAAGCCTAGATGTATTCCTCCTACAAAGTTTTAGGCTGGCCAACGAAGAAGTCGGTGAGGTCACTTTTGAGCTGCTTGTAGTCTCTCATCAACTGGTTCTTTTATCCTACCCAATTTCGGCCCCTCAAATAAACACAATTCTGCTTTATTCTAACGTTTTAGTATTCATTCGATAGCTTCATAATCATTTTCACTTACGCGCCATTTGCGCGTGAATAGCCAGCAAATTTCTTCTCAAGACAGATCTAGATCTCACAATAAGTATAGGTAAGTTGTATAGCAAGGTATTCGCAAGAATATCCCACAATTATTATTTGAGCCACCATGTCATGTGGCCTGTAAATGGACTCTTGTACAAGAAAATACACGTGTTTACGCTTTACAGCGTCGCCAGTCGGCCATGCCCTTCGTGTTTAACCTATCCTCTCGGGGCTTCTACATCCCCTTATAGAGAGAACACGACGACGAGCGATTTACACAATTGCCGCAAATTGAAAAAAATCACTAGATCGGCAGTGTTTACTCTTAATTGCTTTTGACTGGTATTTATGAAATATTACACCGTTTGTTTCGGGTCTTTTCTTAAGACCACGCACAAATCCCAACACAAAATTTTTTAGTCAGGTGGGATTCGCAGTCGCATTTTATCCTATCTGACCGGCTGGGTGTCGACGGATAACGAGTTGTAGCGCAGAAAGAGCAGTGTCCAAACAGGCGTTGGATGTGCAGTGGTTTAGCACGCGTCCCTGGATAGGACGAAATGTGGGTTCGAATCCCATCTGATGCAAAGACCTTTTGCACACCACTTTACATCATTGGTTATATTATAACATCATACTACTGCAAGAGGCAATCAAATAAAGTGAATTCTGGTCGATCATTGATATCTAATAACTATTATTTGAGCTAAAATGCCATGTGTTCTATTAATGGGCCGTTGTACAGCGCGGTACACGTGTTTTGGAAACAGAACTTGAGAAAACGGTCGAAACAAACGGTACAATGTTCCAAGAATAACAGCCAAGAGTAATCGAGTGTAAAGCACCGTCGATCTAGTGATTTATTTCACCCGACAACAACTGTGTTTATTGTTCGTCGTCGCCTACCCCTCTGAAGGGGATGTGGGGACACCCGAGAGGACTGGTCAAAACGACGGGCCTTCCCCATTGACCAGACTTCATGGCCGAAACACGTGTATCGGGCTGCAAAGGAGCCCATAACAGACCACGCAACATGTTGGCTAAAAGAATAGTTGTGAGAAATCAATGATCTGAGCGTAGTAATAAGAAAACACTCGAAAGATGCGGTATGATTATTTTCTCAAGAACATGCGCAATTGACGGCACAAAGTCAGCAATTTAAATGCAAAAATGGAATAAAAATCCAAACTGGCGCAAACTTTCACACAGACAATTAACATCTGTTACTCAAATTGTCATTGCGATCCATAAACAATAAAGCGATCCAACGATTACTCAAGACATGCAAGCACTCATATAAAAACAAAAATTGGACCTTCAATAAACTTTGACACAAACTTTAGAAATACCTTCAAACTGCTCCCTTTTTTAATAAAACTTGCGTAAGGATCGTATTTTCCCTTTAAAGCTCGGTAACTTACGTTTTGGCGTCATCGCCTTCCTCAGAGTATAAGCGATATACCATGCTAAACCAGATTCGTCACTCGACCTGTATTTCCTATATCTGGTAACAATCTAATGAAAAAGCAATCGCAATGTCCACCCACCACATAAAATTCATCGTTGAACTACTTGTATAGAGTTGCAGATGCCTTTTTACACACAATGGAAAATGAACATTTTTCACAGTAAAACTCTATGAGGTTTTATCAGTTGTTATATTCATGTACAATCCTCTTGTATTCATTCCTGGACCCTTGCTATTCATTCAGAAAAGTCCACGAATGAATAGAAAGGGAGAGCACCTGAACGCAAAAAATGCTATGGCGCCTTAACTTAGATTTGTTTTTTTAGTTTCAGTAAGATTCATTTTTCAACGTATGTGACAACACATCGTTGAACTCTCTTACTGGACTGGAAAGTAGCTTTCGTGACTCTTTCGTACTCGTTCATTATATTTCATACGTTTGATTTCTTTACCCTCGTCTAGGGCAGCTTCTTGCGGTTAATTTGACATATGAAATTTATACATATGTTTTGAGACAGAACTGTCCCTAGAGTGGCAAGAATTTTCAACACTACACGAGTATCGTTCAAGTGCAAGTGCTGCATTGGCATTCAGTCATACTTGTGTAGCATCAACAATCGTTTTTACTTTCAGGACAAGTCCATCTGTGAGCAAATGAGTATGTGTCATATATCGAAATAATCGCAAGATGTGAATTTAAACACCAATAAATACAGAACCTCAAATGGATAAAAAAATCAGCAAAGACGAAAAATTCCGAGGAATTTCTTATCAATTCAGCAAGAGAGTTTAGTGATGTGTTATTACGTACAATGAGAAGTGAATTTTACTGAAACTAAAAAAAAAATTTTGAGATAAGTTTCCTCAGCATTTGTTCTGTTCAAACACTCTTCCTTTCCAAATATTCGCGGACTCTTGCAGCTTATTCTTGCAGTCTCGAGACAGTGCTATACCATTGAAGTCCTCTGGATGAACTGCAAGAGTCCACGAATGGGATTACTGAGATTGGTGATTGGTGTGTTACATGTATTCGATGATTATTGATTTTTTCATTAGATTGTCATCAAATTTAAGAAGTAATGGGTGAATAATTGAACATGATAAGGTATAGAACGTCTTTTAGGCCTTAAAGAAGGCATAATCACGCAAATGTAATCACCGAAATTGAAAGGAAAAATATCGATCTTGTACAAATTTTAATCGGAAAGAGGACTCAAATAAACCTTCTGTTTGACTAGGACGATGGTTAAAACTCTCTAAATTTGTACAAACCAATCATATATTTTGGTACAGCCGCAGAGGTGTTGTAAGGTGGCATGTTGGCGAGCGCTGAAAAATGGAAAGAGCTCGTCGCCTTTCACTGGAGATTTATGTGTTGAATTGATCTCTTCAAAATCTTTTTCAAAACCAAGTACACCACTGTATTATTGGGAATGCGCTAGCGAATGAATGAAAGTGTGAAAGAAAAGCAGCATCTAGCAAAAAGTACTTCAGTGTAGAATTCAAATTTAGTTCTGCTGTTACAGCACAATATGAATTAAATTCAAGATATTAAGTGCACCGTTCAAATTCTTGATATTCAAGATATTAAATGGCTACTAAAATGTCAAAATTTACTGGAAAATTCGCGTTTTATTGATCTTCGTTTTCTTAAAGTTCTTGCAAGGTGGAATTGTATATTTCGAAGATAATTTTAACCATCCTAATTGATGACCATAGTTATTTATTTTTATTTAATTACGCGCTACGCCCAAACAGTTTGTACTGCGCGGATCTCAGTACTTCTAGCGTTTGAACTGTTTTTCTTCTTCTTCTCGAATGACGTAGAATACTGGTCGAACATGTTTCCTTGCAATGCTAAGGAGAGCCTGGCAGTCGCGCTCCATATGTCGCTCTCGTTGACTGCCGGGAAATGCTCGCGGTAGAGCTCGGTTCCACGCGCGCAGCGGCGGGTATCACAACCGCTCGATCATGATACTTCCTATTGCTGATCATAAGAACACTACTTGTTTTGCTAGCTCAAGAAACAACTGATGACCAATATTAGCCACTCGTTATATAAGGGGCTTCAATACAGCAGAACCGTCAGTTTACATTCTGATTTTAACATTTTTTCGTTACTTTCATTAGTTTACTAATCTTCTTACGCTTGCATATCCTCTTTTTTCGTTGAGACTAAGCTTTATGAAGCACATTACCTCTTGTTGCAAATTTATCTCATCGCTCCCGATCGCAGTGCGTAATTTTTCAGTGGCAAATATATAGCTAGCTATAGCTAGCTCATATAGCTACACATTACCTAATACCAATTGTACACTTTTCACGACTTTATTTAACACGTCCAGCCATTACTTCTTGCTGTGCAAATCCCAGGGCTTCTAGCACTCAAGTCATCAGCTCGCGTTCATCGTATGATTCAGCATTTGTTTTCCTCGTAAACGTCGTACTGCTGGATCACATCTCCATGCAATATCGGAATCACCCAACCTGAGGCGTTTCCAGAGCGACCGCTCCTGATTCCCGTAGAGTGCTGGGGATCGACTCGCGTCGGGTCCCGCAGTGCGTCAATGGACACGCGGCCGCAGATTCCCGCCGTGCCAATCCCGCCAGTAACAAATCACTTCGCTGGCGGGCTTGCGGATAGCGCAAACCCTTCCTCGTTCCTCTCCATTTTCACCTCAATAAACCGTTCACTTTGTCTTTTTACCATCAAAAATGCATTTCGATGTTATTACCAGTTTCTTGAAGTCTTAGTGGTTCAATATATCCTTTCATCATTATTTAAGCCAACATGTCATGTGGTCTGGTAAGGGCTCTTGTACAGCCCGAGACACGTGTTTCGTCCTTGCAGACTCATCAGCCGGGCAGAACCCGTCGCCTGTCGATCCTTTTATAGTCAGTTCTCTCAGGAGCCTTACACTCGTTATAGAGAGTTATCGGCGACGTACGCTTTACACTCTATGTCAAGTGAAACATTCACCTAACACAGAGTGTTGTGCACTCGATTGCTCATTGGCTGGTACTTTTATCATAATCAAACCTTTATCTCGGGTGCTTTGTTTAGACCACGCTCAAATTTTAATATATCCTTTCATCATTATTTGAGCCAACATGTCATGTGGTCTGGTAAGGGACTATAAAAAGATCGACAGACGACGGGTTTTGGTCGGCTGTTGAGTCTGTAAGGATGAAACACGTGTCTCGGGCTGTACAAGAGCCCTTACCAGACCACATGACATGTTGGCTCAAATAATGATGAAAGGATATATTGAAATTTGAGCGTGGTCTAAACAAAGCACCCGAGATAAAGGTATAATCTTAATGTTTCAATTATGACTTGTTTGCAGCAGTTTTCCTCAAAGAAATTTGTTTTTTGCTGTCCATTTGCACACCTTCAGGTTCCTCCTAAACTGCAGTTAAAATCACTCTCTTTGACGAGATCAATCCAGCATACAATCTTCCGATGAGTGATCACAAGCCTGTTCCATTTTCCGGCGGTCGCCACCACATGTCAGCTGCCGACGGCTTTACGGCTGTACCGAAAGATATGGTTAGTTTTTACATTTTTTCTTTATTTCACGTTTAATTTATTTTAGCAGAAGCTACTTGTGAGTCCTTTTTCTAAGTAAACTCTGCGCGAGGTTCGTATTTCTCCTTTGAAATTGGGTATCTTACGTTTCGGCGATTGAGCCTTCCTCAAGGTCTAGAAAACGTTCTCCACCAAATCGTGTTCGATAATTTGCTTAATACTTCGTATATTTGGTGATCATCCAATGAAAAAATCAATTTCCATCGATCACATGTAAACCACAGCTCAGCTCTACCCGTATAGGAAAATTTATCGGCGTGATTCAACACATTGTAAAACTGAACTACATCCAATCTGAAAAAAGTTCTAAGTAAGGATTCAGGCAGCTGTTATGGTCAGACACTTTCCTCTTCAATTCATTCATGGACTCTTGCTGTTTATCCGAGAGGCCTCAATGGTTCCTCGCTGTCTTGAGACCTTCTGGATAAACTAAAGAAGTTCATGAATGATTAGAAAGGAAGAAAGTCTGAACTTAACAAATGCCGTGGCAACTTATCACAAATTTTTTTTTTTGGTTGAATAGGATTCTG